TACTCTAGAGCGCACGTGAGAATGCAGCACACCTACGTGACGTAAGAGAAACCCGTATGTGATGCTGGGGAGAAAACAGGTGGAAGTCACTCCAAAGTCCCTGGCAGGTTCTGGCCTGTGCTCGCTGTTACTGGCCAGCCAAGCCCGGCTGCTTTATTCCAGTCAATGAAACGGGAATCAGAGGCTGTGTGTGTGCACACGTGGATGGTGCATGTGCACACGTGAGAGAGAGGAGCACTCCGGGGCGAGTCACACTACAGTCCTCCAGTCCCCCGGCTGCCGGTCTTGGCTCCCACCTGTGCCCGGTGTGTTCCGGCTGACGAGGCTGGGGATTCAGACCACAGCCGCCACGTGGCATCCACCTTCCGTTGCACGGACGCCTTACTGTGCGCCAGCCGGCCCGGCTGTTGCTGTTCTTCTCTACTGCTACCCCTAAGCCCCACAATGGGGTAGTTTCACGAGTGCTACGTGCGGTATAGAATTAAAAACCATACGTGAACTTTGCACACTGCACACTCATCAAGGAGTGAAAGCAAAAATGTGCTAATAAGAGAGTGGTTTGACCGTAGCGACTCCCGGGAAAGGTACGAGGATCCCCAGGGGTTCCCAGCACACTCTGAGACCCTCGGGTGGAAACAGGGAGGTGAGAAGCAGCCCCACCAGCTCCAGACCAGACCTGAGATGGCCCTGCCTTCTTTCCTTCAATCGCTCGAAGCCCGAGGAAGAACAGGCACCGCTTATTATGCCGTCCTCCGACCAAGGTACAGAGAGGGTGGAGATAGTGACGCTGGTGATGGGGAGTCCCAGGAGCTGTGACCCTGTGAGGTGTGCTGTTTTTCTCCTTGAATACATGGAAATAAGAGTGTCAGGATGTACAAAATGGCACGATCGGGTCTAACTAATCACGCACGAAGCTGACCTTAGGGGTGCTGAAATCGTTGGGACTGTCAAGTGTATTGCCAATCTTACATCCTGAAATAAAAATTTGCCCTGAACTTTCTGTTTGAAACAATTTCCCTTATACTTATTAAGAAGAATTTAATGTGTGTGCTATTAAAAACAAGGGGGGAGGGAGGAGTCTGTCTGGCCACTGAGATCACAAAACCTTATTTGTTTGCTTGTGAGTTATGCAACTACATGCTTTGTCTTTTTAAAAAGGAGACACTAACCTTAGTAAGAAATGTGTTTTTGCAACATTGTCTTTTTTCTTCTCTCTTAGTAGTATGCTTTAAGGGCCTCCTCTTTGATTTGCTGTAGGCAGAGATCCTTTTATAGCTACTTGAAGACAGCAAGAGTTCTTGTCTACATGTAACTTGCAACATAGTCATTTGCGTTGTGTGATGGAACGTCCTTCTGTTCAGGAAATTGTTACTAATTGTACATGTCCACTTACAATGCTAATATAGTACAGGAATATAATGTAATAATTATAATAACAGCGTTTCTCCTGAGAGTGGGGAGGCAATATTTATTTGTATATATCATTTTACTGGGAGAACTATTAGGTCATCAGGAAAGTTGATCCATTTTTCTCTTTTTCTATACAAAAATGCATCATGACTTCCCCAATGACGCAGTATTTTGCTTATTAATGTATTCCTTACAATATTTTTTGTTCTTGAAATAACAAGTTAAACTCTCATTAAAAATAGAATGATCATCCTAGATATATCTGGATAAGCTCAGATTTTTATTTCAGGCTGTTAAGAGGTTCATTCACAACCTTTTGTTTAAATTCTCCTTTCCGTTAGGAGTGAGGGACAGGTGGAGTAGGGAGATGAAGGACTAGCATCAGCTCTAACCCTAAGCACTAGTTACCCTCCCACCTGTGTCTTCTTAAATCCGTGCAGGAGCACAGTGCTACAGACAAATCTGAGCTGTATATCAGCATAATACATTCTGGGTGGCAAAGCTCTTATTTCCACCCAGTACCTAATATTTATACAGCACACTTTAACATTCATTTGCTTGAAAACTATATGATGACATTTTAATACATCTTGTAAAACATCCCTCCCCACCCCCCGCACTTTCCTGCCCATTTCCAAGTATCATGAAACAAAGGTTGAAATATCACTGCGTTAGAAAAAATTAAATGTGGGACTAGCGGTTGGCGTAATGGCTATGTCGCTGGACTCCCATGTAGTTGACCGTGGTTCGAGTCCTAGACCCAGTGGCTTAAACTCACGCCAGGCGCGTGTGCATGCGTGCCCAAGATTCCAAGAGGAGAACAAAGGAGAAGGGATTGCGACGTGGCCATCCCCCCTGGGGGGTGATTTCTCACTTTCTGTCTCTGTCTTTCCAGTGAGAGCATGTGCCCTATAGCAAAAACCTCTCAAAAATAAAATAAAAAAGAAAGAAAAAATTAAATGTATCCAACAACATTAACAACTGGCCTAGGAATAATTCAGGGCGCAGAAAGCATAGAAACAGTTACATGGTTTTCCCTTGAGAACTGTTACAAACCTCAGGCAGTTCGACCCTTGCATCTGTGGTCAGGGACAGTCAAACTTGGCAGAGATCAAGGCTGCGCACAGGCCGGTGCTACGGCTTCCCGGCAGCGGGTACGCGACGTCTTTTCCACCAGGCTCTCCCCGTCCGACCCTCAGGCGCCGTCTGGGTGCCTCCTGTGGGTCCGGCCCTGACGCTGACCACCCTGGTCAGCACCAGGCCCCACAAACATGTGGGCACCGGCCCACGGCACTGAGCTCATTCGGTTGTCAGGCCAAGTACCGAGCCTGACCCAGCTACAGAATGGAGGGCCCCAGACGCCCCTCCCGGGTTTGCTGACTGCTCCAAGAACGCACAGAGCTCAGGAGAACGCGGCACTGAGAGTGCAGGGGATTCGAAGGCTGGAAACGAGCAGCCAGACGGCCACACACCATCCCCCCTGGGGGGGGATTTCTCACTTTCTGTCTCTGTCTTTCCAGTGAGAGCATGTGCCCTATAGCAAAAACCTCTCAAAAATAAAATAAAAAAGAAAGAAAAAATTAAATGTATCCAACAACATTAACAACTGGCCTAGGAATAATTCAGGGCGCAGAAAGCATAGAAACAGTTACATGGTTTTCCCTTGAGAACTGTTACAAACCTCAGGCAGTTCGACCCTTGCATCTGTGGTCAGGGACAGTCAAACTTGGCAGAGATCAAGGCTGCGCACAGGCCGGTGCTACGGCTTCCCGGCAGCGGGTACGCGACGTCTTTTCCACCAGGCTCTCCCCGTCCGACCCTCAGGCGCCGTCTGGGTGCCTCCTGTGGGTCCGGCCCTGACGCTGACCACCCTGGTCAGCACCAGGCCCCACAAACATGTGGGCACCGGCCCACGGCACTGAGCTCATTCGGTTGTCAGGCCAAGTACCGAGCCTGACCCAGCTACAGAATGGAGGGCCCCAGACGCCCCTCCCGGGTTTGCTGACTGCTCCAAGAACGCACAGAGCTCAGGAGAACGCGGCACTGAGAGTGCAGGGGATTCGAAGGCTGGAAACGAGCAGCCAGACGGCCACACAGGGGTGAGGCTGAGGTCTGAGCCCAGGGCGTCCCTGCCCCGAGTGTGCGCTCCCTGGGTGTGCTTGCCGGCCCCGGTGGGTTCAGGGCACCTGCGGAGGTGCCGTGAAGTAGGCGAGGTGGGCCGAGATGGTCGTGGGTCGTTGGCCGGGAGCGAGAGTGGGAGGTGGAGCAGGAGTCAGCCGCGCAGCACGGGGCACCCTCTGGCAGCCGCTTCCATGCTGAGGGCCCCCGGGCCCGG